CTTCCCGAGTCCAAGTGATCTCATTGTTCAGTTCCCACCTATGAGTGAGAACATGCGGTGTTTGGTTTTCTGTTCTTGTGATAGTTTGCTAAGGATGATGGTTTCCAGCTGCATCCATGTCCCTACAAAGGACACAAACTCATCCTTTTTTATGGCTGCATAGTATTCCATGGAGCTCCAGTAGCGCAATCGGTTAGCACGCGGTACTTATCATTTTCTAATTCTTAAAGCTCAAGGCCCAATCTTTGTCAATAAATGCATGCCAGGACATAGGGGTAGCAGATAGTTTGAATTGTACTACCCTTCATATATACATTAATTTGTTTTAATTCTTAACAAAAGAAAAATCTCTAAGGTAGGTACTATTATTATACCAATTTTATTGATTAGAAAATTGAGGCACAGAGAGTTTAAGTTACTTGCACACAGTCATATAGCTAATGAATGCTCAATTTCATTGAAGCATGCTGGTAGACTAGGGAAGATTGAAATATGCAATGACTGAAGTTCTTTATCCTGTCCAAAATACATTCTAAAACACAGTCTAGTCAATTACCCTTAGTAGCAAAGTGGAATGAGACTCACCAGCGTTTATCAACTCCCTTCGAAGTCTTCTGATCTTTACTATCATTTGAGAAGAGAAGTGTTCCATAGAGCTGACATCAAATACAAATGCCACACAATGAATTCTGTCCTTCAGCGATGGGGAATCAATGTAGTCACGATGACTTAATTTGATTGATTCCATGGGATTAAACTGTAAGGTAGACATAAAGTAACATATTAATTCAACAAATGTTTATGAGCACAAACTATGTACCAGGCACTGTGCAAGTGAACTGAATGGTAAACAAAACAGAAAAGTCTCCTATAGTGTGAGGCTAACAATCTTAATAGAGAATACAGGCATTATGCAAGTAAGCTAGCAGTCCTTTCACCTTGTCAGGTAAGGCATCTGTGAGGAAAGGACATGTAATCTGAGAGCTAAAATAGCAGGAGTTTAAGAGGATAAGGATACGGCTGAAGGTGTTCTAGATAAGAAAGGCACTCTGTCCACAAATGGAAGTAAGAGAATTGAGAAAAAAAGCTGGTACCATCAAGCAGAGCGCAAGGAGGAAAGGGGTTCAAGGTGAGACGACTTTACTCTTCAGCTAGCAGTTTCTCTGTTGGGAATCTGTCCCACTGATACACTGACAAAAACACATAATGATATATGCGAAGGTTATTGACTGCAGGAACATTTGTAGCAGAAAAATGCCATATCAATTAAACTTTGTCTGATATGTCAATAAAGCAGTTTTCTACCACTTCTCCAAGAATGGAGTAGCCGCAAATTTATATGTACTTTGTTATATATTTAAAAAGGCAAGAAAAATATAAATTTTGTATGGTTACTAATAGGAAGAGAGGAGAAATTTATTTGAAGGGGCAGAGAAGGAAGATAGATTCTTTGAATATACATTATTTTGTAGATTTGATCTTTGAACCATGTAAATGCTAAACATAAACATAAAACCAAATTAACTTTGAAAATCAGTTCCTAAATTTAATTGAATTAGTGAACTGTTGCGGTTATAATACAGGGATAAACTATTTTGATTGACTTTAAAATACAATAATTTGTATACCCCTCCAAGGATACATGATACAACCTAAATACACTATAAAAATCTGCTAAGATGGTTTAATTATTTCCAGTTTTGATTGTGATTATATGAAATGATACTAAGTGTGACTATGATGAGATTGTTCATGGTACTGATAGAGCTTTTATACTGAGGTTCCTGTAGATGATATGTAAGATAAAGGAATGAGTTGTGACATGATATTCTGTTACCGCCACTGTTTTTGAGAATGAGAATTCTCAGTTTGGGAGAAAGCAGATATACAAGTGATAGAAAAGAGAGTAAGTAAAAACTTTCTAATACTGAATTTGAATAAGAAGTTTTTGTATAAGTTTATAAATTTTTTTTCATGAAAATGTATATTACTTAACTCTGCTCACTAAAAAAGACAAGAAACAATGACCAGCCAAGTAGCTATGAACATTTCTAATGCCCCACACCAGGACTACTTGAAGAAACAGCTGTCTCAAAAGCTGTGGCAAGAATAAAAGAATATAAAAAAGACTTTTAGGTTCATGTCAAATGGACTCAGGATCCAAATTGTAGAGGCTCTCACTGGTACAAGATGGTACATTTTACACCAGTATGGAGAAAACCTACAATGGATTGAAACACACAACATATGTTCAATTCATACTGAGTTGTTCTTAATAACAATAAAATAATATCTTGACCCTATTGGCAAAGGTGAAGAAAATGTCATTATTTCAAAGTCTTGTAAAAAGGCAAAAAATTCAAGCATATATCCTGTTGTTCTTTTTAAACTGTGCCACTGGATAATCAAAGAATGGATGAGGGTAAGTTTCTCTTTTGTATGTGAAATGGTGAAAGAATAATAGAGAATGTCACTATTTTCACACCTTAACAAATAAACGGATCTAGGCATTAAACATTGATTAATACCAATATTAGAAAAGGGATAAATCCCCAAACTGTGCACAGTTTCATAGAATACAACACAATCTATGAAGTAGAATCTGAATTGGAACACTCTTTAGATTCAACTCTCAATAATCAGGACATATGGAAAACAGAGGACCATGTAAAACCACCCTGAGGGATGAAAATAATGGAGTTCAGATTACATAGAAGTCTACAAAACAACTAGATTTCTTAAGAAACAAATGATAAGGAAAAAGCGAGGGATATAAAGTCAGAACATACAATCAAAGAGACTGAATAGACCTATTTGAATGTTATTCAAACAAACTTATAGATCTATATTTATAAAGCAATTATAAATTTGAACACTGAGTTGTATTTGATAATTTATGGAACGATTGTAAATTTTAGGTGGGGTAAGAGTATTATGACTGTGTTTAAGGAGATATATATATGCTCCTATTTGTATAGTTATATGTATAGTCAGTATTGAATAAAATGTTATGATTTCTTGGGTTTGCTTCAAAATAATACAAGAGAAGAGAAAGTGGGTAGATACAGATGAAACAAGACTGGCTGTGAGTCAAAAATTTTTGAATCTGAGTACATGGGAATCCATTAAACTATTTTGTCTATTTTAAAATTCTCTGTGATAAAAAGTTTGTATTTAAAAAAGAATATTTAAAAATAAACAACACTTACAAGACAACTCTATACTAAAGAATGAAAGAATCTTGCATGAATAGAAAAACAAAACTTGCTGTGTTTTTTAACAGGCACACAAGATATGTAAAGACGTCAATCAATTTTCAGTATAAAGTGTTAATATAATTTCAATCTAAACAACAAGAAATCAAACACAAATGAACAAACAAAGCACAAAAAACCTCATTTGAAAAGGTATATGTATGAAAATTGCCAAGAAAAACAAATAGGAGTAATAAAAAAATGAATGTGACTTGTCTGGTAAGTTATCAAGCCATAATTGATTATTATGGTAATTAAACAATTAGATAATATAGTAATTAAAATGCTATCATGAAATAATAGATCACTACATCAATAGAAAAAACTAGAGAATACAAAAACTGACCCCAATATTTCATAATGAAAAGATACAAAAGGCATTCAGTGAAAGATGTTGGCATCATTGACTATCGTTTGGAACAAAGTAAACTTAATGATTATTCAAGATCTGAATGTTCATTAGAAGGCTAGAAGTTTAAAAAATATATACTGAGATGGTTCTTTGATCTCCCCTTCCTCTTGCCTGGAACACTGACAGCGCTCAGTGTTCTTTTCACATAATAACGACAGTCACACGTCTCAGTCAGATGGGACTGCTATGACACGTTATACAGATTGGGTGGCTTAAACAACAAACATTTATTTCTCACAGTTCTGGAGGCTGAGAAGTTCAAGATCAAGGTGCCAGAAGATTCGGTTTCTGGTCAGGGTCCTCTTCCTGGTTTACAGAGAGTCACCTTCAGGCTATATCTTCACATGACAGAAAGAGATCATCTCTCTCATGTATATAAGAGCACTAATCCCATTCATGAGGTCTCTATCTTTATGACCTAATTACCTCCCAAAGTCGTTACCTCCAAATACCATCACATTGAGAACTAGGGTTTCAACATATAAATTTGGGGGAGGCATATCTTAACAGCCCATGCTGAGGACCTCAAAAAATCGGAAGGATCTCTGAAATTAATAACTTCAGATAGCTGCCACACTGGTCCCAAGCTGCCTGCCTTCAGACTTCCTCTTACATAAGAAAAATTATCTATGTAGGTAAGTTGATGCAGTTGGATTTCTGTTTCACATAGCTGAAAGCAATGGAAAGTGGGGTAGCTGTTATGATAGCCATGATGGAAGAGCCCTCAAGATGTTTTTATTCTTTTTGGAAAAAAAAAAAATCGAATAGGGACAAAGGACCTTGAGCAAGTATAGTTTAAGAAGATAAATGCTGATACATTTGTACAAAAATAAGCATTTTAAAAATCAATTATAATTTCTCATTAGTCAAATCTTACCTGGTATCTATCACGAATGTTACCATTTAAGATGTAGAATATGTCATCCCTGCACAGGCCACCTTCTTTCTCACCCAGCCCCAGTGAGTCACACAGAATAAATGGCAGATATTGGCCGCCTTTCCCATCTCTAATAAAGTATGTCCTATACTGTAGAGGGGATAAAAGCAATTTTAAAGGTTCATTTTTTATTATAAATTGAGATGAAGTCTATACGTAATAAAGTTGATCTGCAAAAGGCTTTTGAAATATAATTGATTTGAACAGAGAAGCAAAGGCTAGGTGGCCTCAAATGTGCTTACCTTCTCAGATATCCCAGTTCTATTAGTGCCCATCAAAGCCTGATGCGTTACATGCCCTTGGAAAACAGACCTCACTGAGTTGAAAAAGCTGGACTTCCCAGCTCCAACTGGACCCAGCAGCAGAATTCGTATTTGTGGAACCAGGGATCCATATGGTTCATAAGTTCTCAAGGCAGACAATAAGCTCTTCCTGAGCCTGTTTAGACATGATCATTTTTAACAATTGACTGCGGTTAGGTCATGAAACCTTACTATAAATTTTCTGCGGATTCATTTTTTTCATAGATATTATTTTTTATTAGCAACTTGCCTTCTTACTTAAAAAACATGAGATGAACCTACGTGAAATCCTATTGCAAAAAGAACAAAAAGCAAAAATAATACACAACTAAATTGGTAGACCACATACATCTAAGAATAAATAATCGCTGTATTAAACATAAAGATCAATTATTTAAGACTAAACTTCAGAAGTCAAAATACATGTGACTTCCGAAGTTCATGAAAGTAGACCATTTCTAACATATTCTTGAAGTTTATGGTGGGTATTCCCCACCTGCCAACCACTTCTTCTAGCAACCTCTAGAGTAGTTGAAACATTAACTGCAAGAATTCTAAGTAAAACACAGACATACAAACAAATAACTATTTTTCTTCAAGTATATCACATTAAAAATTCCTTTCCTCTACTCAGTGTCCTTTTTGTCTTAACATTAATATTATCAAATATTTTATGATTATAAATACAGTTTGTTCTTGATGATCCACAAGTTATGTGTGATAATATGTGTTGCCAATTATATTGATGAGACCTATCATAGAATAAGTCAAAGAAAATGAAGAGAATAATAGAATCTTAAAAACATTGACTTACTCAGTCACCCCTTTTATCTTTCTTTCATCCAGTAAATCTGAGGAAATAATCAAAGAATAATGTAGATTAGAAGTTGTCGAATGATTGGCTGACTGAATGAATGTCAATGAATTCACTAGAGACAAATAAAAAAATAGCTTTTCCATGGGAACGGTCCTGTATGGTGAAAAGGGAACAATTTTATAGAGAAAATTCTGATAAAGCTCATTAACAACATTTGAAGAGGCTAGCACTAGAGGCAAGGTAGACCCTCTGTACTATCAGCAGATCTCTTCTCATTCAGTTACTCAACAGTGATATGTGACTCACTCCCACATGGGAATTGAGGGTGTGGGTGTTTTCTAAAGAAAAGAAGCAAGGCCTAGAGATGTGGGAATGTCTAATGTGGAAATGTGGAAATGTCTAATAAGACATTTTCCCCTCCATAATCCAATAGGTCTGAGAGGGATAATGTGCAAAGACACACAAACAGAAAACACGGCACTAGATTTTCTCTACAACCTGCTATTAACAATTGGAACTCCGGGAACTTCCAGCTCACTTAATTTTATTCCTGCCCCCAGAAGAGAAGATGAGACTCATGCCTACCCAATCAGAGTGCAGTAAATTGTTCAAGTGTAAGCGGAGGATTTCATTCAGATCAATAAGGCACAAGCTCAGAATTATTTTTTCTTAGAAAGAGACATTTTTATGTTGAATTTAAAACAGAAAGGATAAGGATAAGCGATGCTACCAATTCTCTCAGTTACAAAAGAAGAATATCATGTGGAACATTTATAAACATGGCCATATGTATGACAACAAAGTGAACAATATTACCAATAGTAGAAATTGTGAAAACTTCCTTCAATGTCTGTAATATAATAAGACTAGCAAAGCGCAATTACAAACAAATGGAAAAGCAACCTCCTGGGAGTTTAAAAAGCACTGTCTTAAATAACTTTAATATCCAAAAAGAAATAAAAACCACAATTACAAATATATAGAAAATAGCAATATGATCATTTATGTCAATTTTATGATAATATCCTATTTCGTTAATGACAAGAAAGAAGGAAAACACTGAAAATTGAAAATAGAATAAAAAAGAATAAAGAAACGGACCTTAGGAATATAAAAAGAAACACAAAATACAAAACCAAATTTTACAACTTGAAGAAAGGATAAATTAATATAGTAATTATTTTAAAATGTAAAATAAATAAATTATCTTGTTTTATCAAAGAAAGACAAATTTGTTAAATGTCATACCACCACTCATATACCAAAATGGTTGCATAATCAAAAAAAAAAAAAAAAAACGCTGAAAAGAATTTGGGGTGACAGAGACCCTTGTACACTACTTATAGTTGTAGAAATTGATATAAAACTATGTTGGGAAATGTCGTCAGTGTGAA